GAATCTCTTCCCTGCTGGGACCCAGAAGCGGTAAAGTGATTATTTCTTTCTAGTTAGACATAAAAATGTGTCTTTCACTTTGAAATATCTTTATTTAGTCCCCTTCTTTATTCTATAGATGGGAAGTTATTGCTGCTTATGTGAATCAGCACTCAGTAGGTGTTGAGGTAACAGCCAAAGAGGCACACAAACAAGCCAAATCTGTCAGTGAAAATTGTAGGTACTACTATTTGTTATTCGGTAGTATACCCATATTAGAGTGAGTATTATCTGGTTGCTTCCTTCTGCAGATGGTGCAATGAAACAAGAGACCAATGCAAAAGCCTTTCAGAACTTTGCAACAAGTACCAAACAATCAGATGCAACGAAATCGGTGACTATTACAGATCAAATTGAAGGTATGCACCCCCTTTTACCCTCTAATAGGCAATTGTTAAAGGTTGTATGCCAATAAATCGATATAGAATGAGGGTGTTGAAGGTCTATACGAGTATGAAAGACAGACCAGTAAGTAGTAAAGAGTGGAAAAGTGGAAAGGAACGCCCATGTTTCTACATTGGACATTGATCATGGTTTTGATTAGTTGATTTTCGGTTTTCACAGATCTAACTCATGTTTTTATGAATTTTATATAAAGCTGATATTAATTTTGTAGAGCATAACCACAAGATGCATTGCGCATGAAATGCTTTCCGTGGACATCCCTCATTGGCTATTGTATGGTCCACAGAGTTGTACGGTATTTTTCTGTTAACATAATGCTTAATTAACGCACTCTGATTTTAAAAGTTTAAACTGAAAATACAGAGCCCCCATAAGCCCACAACCAGAATCGTTGAAGTACTTCGTTTCGCTGATAAAAATCAGGTAGTATGCGATAAACCTCATTGACTGGCCTTGAAAAGTAGCAAAGCTGCTCAACTGACCCGTTAAGAATAAACATATTTCTCACTATTATCAAATCAAATTTGATTACAGTAAATGGCACACTCTTTATACCTATCCCTGACGCATTTCATCAATCTGTTCCAACCTGATTTCGGGCTTTTCTCCGTCACTAATATAAATCATCTATTTTTCATTATTTTGTTTTCTGGTTCGTTATATTTGTGCAACCGATTTAAAACTCCACTGTTATCAAAAAGGCAGATTCCTTCCTTTTTCTCCACTGACAAAGCAACTAAGAACAAACCACGGTCTTTGAAGTGAGTTGTACCATATGAAGCCGGTTACGTAAGGTACATTGCCTACTTTGCCCATTGTGATATTGTTTTATCGTAGATGATATTTTAGGGAAGAATAATGCCTCAAAATA